CGTGAAGCTAAACTACGTTTTATGCCTTCTTGTTGGAAACGCCCGTTGTCAACAATGGGTCATTTTCACAGTCTAGACAATGCTGGTCTCATGATGAGAAACACGCTTAGTTATGTGTATGATGGTATATGCCATTGAGAAAAAGCACTTGGATTTATTCCAGTAAATCTCTGATTCAAGGAATATTGCAGCAATGGTTATTCCAGGTTTAAAAAAAATATATATAGGCTGCTCTGTTTTTTGAAAACTTACACATTTTTTCCTCTATTAAATTGCTTCCTGGTGATGGAAATGTCTGAGGTTTTTTTTTTTTCTACTGCATCTACTTTCCTTTAGCTTGTACACCCCTGAGGTAATTAGCGTAGGTTAAAATTTACATAACTGACTTTGGGGTTTTGCAAATAGGAAAGATGGAAATTTATTCAAGGTGGTGAATAATTCATTCTAAAGCAAGTTTCCTGTTTTTTTTTTTTAATCATGTAGAAGATGTATTACAGACTCATAGAGGTTTTCTGAATAGGACCCTAAGCATTGAATTTTTGATATATTTTATTTCTTAGTGTAGGTAAAGAAATATTAACCATGACTCATTGCACTTTTCCTGTTCAATAAGATTTGAATAAACTTAACAAATTTATTAGGTAGATGATAGAGCTTTTTAAAAATTATCATGACACACTGTGACAAATATTTTACTAGGATCCAGAAGAAATAGTTTTAAATCATATTCCCATTGCTGCTTCAGAGGCAAAGAGATGGAAAACAGTGCAGTTCATACAGAGAACCCCGATTCATATTTTCTTTTGAATATTCATTGTTTAATTAAGATTAGGAAGATAAACAAGGGGATTGGATAGCTATGGGAGTCTGGTAATACAATCAGTTTTGTTAAAAAAAAATAATTATTTCTGGCGCAGTGTAAGCGTGGACTAGTAATGTCTGAATGTTGTTGTAATGTTATGGCTACTTGATATTTTACATGAAGTGAGTTTTCTATTTCATGTTATTTCTCAGTCTAAGTGCCCACTTCAGAAAAATCACTATCCCAGGCACCGCCAAGGGTTGGATCTGGGAGACAAATTATGAACCAAGCCTTCCTCTTGCCTTCTGAACTTTAGCTTTAGCTGCTTCAGCCCAACTTTAAACCCCTTCTCATCTGCCACCAAACTCTGGAAACACATGATGCCCTTTGGTCAGTAGTTTTTTGTCATTAAACTTTGAGACTTTGAGCTTTCTTGATGGGCAACCCCCAAATGCCCCAGACGTGGTAGACTGGCTCCCATGCCTAGCAGGGGTGATGGACATTGCTGCTTGGTCCCTGCTGCTGTAGGGACGTGTCCCCTATGCCTGCGAGGGCACGTCCCTGTGAGGCAGCCAAGGAGGAACCACCTGCTCTTTCTCTTGGTGTGTTCCTTGGTGGCTGCAGTCCCCACCGGACCTGGGGGAAGTGGCATGAGGGAGGTCTGATCACCAGACAGCTGCCCGCCCTTCCTGGGGATGTGGTGTAGGTGATGATTCACCAGACTGGGGAAAGAAAATCAGCACCAGCGTTTGCAGGAGTGGGAGAGCAAGTCGCTGTCCTTGCTGTAGGGACTCCTAGTGAACTTCAGCCCAAAGTTGCCCAGGAGCAGGAGGGTTTGGTTGCCACTAACCAAGGCACAGTGGTGGAGGGAGCATTGCCCATGACACAGCTGCCACGTGGAGACCTGGGAGGTCTTGCTTTGAGCTAGTTTGATCATGCCACCTTTGCCATCGTGTATGTGTAATGCTTGACCAGGGCCTGGAGGATTTATTGCATCCATTTGAGGCTCTCTGCTGGGACTACCAACAAATCAAATGGTCTTTTAAGGCAACCATGTTGTCTCTGCTTTAATTTTACAGGGTTTAATCAAGTTACGTTAAAAGCTACTCACGCAGGCCTTTTTAATATGTTTTTGCAGTCTGTTCTTCTATTCCGATAATTTTTGTTTTGGAAAGAAACAGCATGCTTTGCAAATAATTTTCCCAATGCCTTAGTCTTCAACAAAGATTCCTAAGCTTCCTTGAAAACAGCCAGATATCTGTGAAAAAATTTGGAGATTTGGAAGAAAAGGGAGACTTCAGCAGCCAGATATGGAGCCTCTGATGGGGAATTTTCCTCTATTGACTATTACATTGTTTCCCTTCCAAAATGTTTTTTGGCTTTGAGGCTTGATGAGATTGGAAGCGGAACAAAATTTTACGCTGCTTAGATAACAGTATATGGTGTACAGTAGGGAACCTCCTTGTATATCGATATAGTGTTGCGTGCACGTTTTATGATGATCTCAGGGATACCAATAGGAAACACGAGATGTGCCCTCTAATATTCAGCGCGACCTCTGAACAGTGCGGGTCAGAGAGAAGAATTTTGTTTTCCTGAGTCTGCAACTTTCAGCAGGGTTGTTGTTTTCAGGTTTTGCACGGAGAACGCAGTCCAAAAAGATATGGATGCTGGCCTCGTGATGGACTGACTTTTTCAGGTTGCTGTGCAAGAGTAAAATCACTTGAAGGCCTCCAGCTTCATGCTGGAGAGCTGCACAACCATGGGGAGAGAGGACTGCTCATGCGAGTTAGCCCTCAATGTGTTGCAACATCCAAAAATACCAGTCTCTCTAACCAAAAGTTTAAAAACAGCTGTGGTGACACAAGACATAAGATCTGGAGAAGATTTAAAGTGGAGCAAGTTGTAGGCTCTCTGTTAGCGTATGAATAACTGCTTTGCACAATATGTTTTGTTGTGCATGTACAAACACACATACATGCGTTTATGCATGTATGCATACATATGATTTTGGTAGGTGTAGTAAAAATAAGGGCTGTAAGGCTCTACCATGCACAAATATACACTGCAACAATCAAGTTTTTAAAAGAAGATAAGAGCTCCGTTTCCCTTGGAAATAATAGATTAAACATATGGAAAAAATATATAGACAAATGTTACAGAATAAATAATGGAATAAAGTAATGGTGACTGAAATTCCTAATTGCTTCCGAAAACCTTCAATCAGAAGACCTAAGGCAAACCTTTGGAAAATTGCACATTTGTGGCTTTTATTTCTATATTCTTTCTGTACGTTTGGAAATAAAACGTAGTTTTTTTGTTTTTTTAATTTTTATTATTATTTTTTGGCATGTGGGACTCAAAGCACCGCAAGGAAATCTCTCACCACAAGAAAGAAAAGTTGCAAGCCAGGATTCGTGAACTCTTTCAAAGGTATGTCCGATAAGGTCTACTTTGTACTCCTATCTAATGTGCTTTCCCTCCAAAGGTCTTTCAGTGCTTTACAGATATTAATGAGTGGAACTTCTCCCAAACAAAGCACCTTAAGCCTAGAAAAATACAGCCTGTACTTTTGAAAGAGGCCTCTGTTTTGTGTACCTCCATTTTCAGATACCCAGCTTGGGCTGTAATTTTTAAGTGCTACACACAGTGCACTTCAAAAGGTGATGGCTTGTCCCAGCACCCTTCATCCCTGAATCTGAATTACCCTTAAAGAGCGAAGGAAATACGAATTGGAGCAATGTTTTTGTGATCAAGCTATAGGTGGCTTTTAGATAAATGCATGCATCAAATTACCTGTAAAGAAATGAATGGAGGAAATAACCCTCCTGGATGCAGCCAAGGAAGCTATGTTTTGCTGTGACACCTAATGAGCATGCTGGTGAGCACAAAACAGGCCTAACTTCACCGAATAAATTATTCTCTTGAATCTAATACCCAGCACAAGGAGAGAAAGGAGAAAAATGATGCAACCCAAAAAGAGATCAAATGCAGTTATTTAAATGTTTGATGTTCAGTAATGAAAACTGTTTACCTTCATAATTGTATATTAGCAGCTAATAAAGGCAATAGATACAGTAGTTTAAAAGTAATAAAATCAACAACAAAGTGTATTTAATTTTAAATTGAATTGCAAGCAAATGGGTGTCCTAATGAACCCCTGTGTCAATGCAGCTCTAACCAAATTAAGTGAAATAATTTCCATCATGAGAAACTAAATAAGTACGAAGTTCCAAACCGACCATTCTTCTCGAGGAGAGAAGTTAACTTCTCAGGCATTTCAGCTCTACGAATTAGCTAGAGACATTCAAGAAGCATTTTTTCTTACTTCCATTTGGGACAACTGGACCCAAGTTGACTTGACTGCAGCTCAAGGATAAACTTCAAAGGCGGTTGACCCTACGCTTCTTGTATTTCAGTCCTTAGCAGTAAAATTTTGTCCTGAGATCTCATTGGTTCTGGATTGGGCATAATTCCTGTGTATGTCTTCAGGACTAGCGTCTACCTACACAGACCTTCCAACTGATTTAGCTGTTGCCTGGACATTTACCTGATGCAATTCTACTGGTAGAGGAATCTGGAAAACAGCTTAACCATGCACCAGTGGTAATTTTACTGGTGTAAATGTATATATATGTGTGTGGTTTTTTTTTTTAAAAAAAAAAGACATGGCAAAGTCTGAGTAGAAACTGATTTCTAGCAATGTGCCAGGAACGTGGAGACAGACTGGGATGTTTAGTGTGATTTGCAGTCTGTGAAAATAGTTTTCTTGATAAAGAACCATGTTAATTGTACAAACATGCAGATTTCTCACCTTATCACCTTGAATGCAAAGGAGAAAAAAAGAATGAAGACACTGGAGTTGAATTTTCCAAAAGAAGTCAGAAAATACTGAAGGAGTGCTTCAGAAGTGCAGTCCAGGGAGATGATGTTGTTTTGGTTTTGATTCTTAGTTTTTTTGTGTGTTTTTTTTGTTTTGTTTTTGTTTTTTAATGAACACCAAATTTTAGTATTTTCTTTTGTGGCTAAAATCTTAACTGAATACATGTCTTGGCAACCTGAGAGAGGCTGTCCTCAGATTGCCTGTGTCGGAGATGCCCAAACTAATCCTGAATCACAACTGTACCTGAAGCAGCGACTTCTCCTCGGTCCCTATGACTCCTCTCAGCATGTTGTGGGCAGCTCCTTTGACCTCCAGGTTGGCCTGTGGCCGGCTCTTGGCCATGAACAGCTGGCTCAGCCTCCAGCTCCCGAGAACCATCGTGTCTTTGTCTGTGCTCTCCAATATGCCCCAGATCCACCGGCAAGTGTGGCTGGAGCATCGCCAGCGCTGGCGCGGCTGACCACCCTCTCCAGCCTTTTAAAGTGGGTTGTGGAAGCAAGAGCTGAAGGGTTTTGAAGCCAGCAGAGGGTCTACAGATGTTTTTACTTAGGGTTGTTTCTATTTAGATACTGGTGCCGAGTAGGGACAGAGGGATTGCTCATGGTTCTGTGTCTGTTCAAAGATGGGATGAGATTGCCAAAGCATACAGCTTTAGAGTGCTTGTTGTAAATGACTTAGTTTTGCATTTGCTCCTGCTGTGCTCTAGGAACAAGGAATAAACCATAGGGTACTGTGCCTATTGAGCATCCTGTGCTCTAAGCAGAGCGGCGCTGGGGTATCCAGTGTAGGGCTGTTCTTACAGTATTTGCTGGAGTTTTGTGTCGATACAGGGACATCCCTTCAAAAACAAAAAAAAAATCTTCAAATTGACATAAATAGCCCCTAGATTACTCTAGCTACCCCAGAAGTTAACATGAATGCTGAGGAAGGTTTAATGGTTCACATATAGCTGAAAATTTGTGTATGTGCACGTATGTTTGTGTATATATAACTTATATACCAGAAAACTATATAGATAGATTATATATAAAAAAAATCTTTAAAATATTTATAAACGATATAAGATTTATATATAAATTCATAAGATTTTTTTTTGAGGAAAAAAGTGTTAAGGCTTGCTTATATATAATAAGATGTTTGCATTGGTTTAAAGCAACCCAATCCCCAAAGAACCAATGGTTTCCAAGAACCCATTCCAGTTTATTGAAGCTGTCACCTGATCCTGAAAGTGTTGACAGAGGCAATGGCTTCCTAATTTAATATTCTTAACCTAGAACCCAAGCCCCATCGCCAGACAGAGATGATTAGACACGGGCAGTGAAACTTTAGGTTCCTTATGTCGACCTGTGGCACAGACTGACAAATACTGGCCGTGTTACTGGGGCTGTGACTGGGTTTTTTTGTATGCTGCTTTTTGAAGCCTGGTCATTTCTCTGCTTTAGCACACTGTTGTTTCTTCGGAGTGCCCTGCAAGGCTTATGATATATTCAAGGAAAATGTTAAATTCTCACGTATTTCCAACGGCAAGTGCTTTCTGTGTCTGCATTGTAGGCAATTTCTTTTCAATTCTTCTTCCCTCTTGCCTTTCTAACTGCTGCAGAGTGGGAAGTCAGCCATCAAAAGCAGAGGAGAATGGGTGTGAAGAAGAAACAGTAGCCAGCTTTGGTAACCTTGCCAGTGTGAATGCTGGATTAAATGGAGCAGCAGGACCTTGTGGGAAGGTGAGGTTCTCCATGAGTGCTCTTTTCCCTGATGCAAACTGCTAAATGACTAGATCAATTGCATTGCATTATTATTTATTTCTTTTTTTTTTTCATAGTTTAAAAGGATAGCATTTAGCATGTTTCAAAATCTGCTTTCCAGCAGAAGTAACCATATGCTTAAAGAGAATGTCTAAAGCTATTAATGATGAATCATTTGGGCATGGCAAGAGTTCTTCAAAACAGTTTGTCAGTGCTGGCCAAGCAAAGTCTTTCAGCAG